CAGCTCTACAGGTGCGCAAGTAGAAGGACACATCGTCTGCGGGATTGCTCTCTGAAGGTACACGGCAGTACCATATGAATAACGCGTGGATCTCCTCAAGTTCGGCAATCTTGCATGAAATGCTGTGGAGCCACTTGCTGGGAAAATACCTTTTAAGTATGGCACCCTTTGCGCCTTCATTGTCACAGAACACCACGACATGCTTGGCCACAAGCCATTTATTCCACAAACTGATAGCTGCAAGAACCGCTAGAACCTCAAGCTCGGTGATCAGCTGCTCTTTGTCGCCAGAAAAACATGTGTCACATTCTTCAGGCATCAGCTGTGTCGAGAACCAGTCCAATGCCTTGCCCATTTCGTCGAAAAGGGTGCCACCTAGGCCTGCCGACCTATCTTCGTGAAAGGTCGCGTCAGTGAAAACATAAAAGACTTCTTTGTCGCAAGAATCGACAACCCTCATTTTGTTGCTGGCAAATGCTTCTTTGAACCTGGCCAAGTCACGCATGCACTCTTCGTCCAAGACGTCTGTCCGTTGAAATACGAAGTTGAAAAAGCCTCAACACACTCGCCCAAACACTTGGCCTTCGGCGAAGCTCATGCGTCCTTTGAGCCTTGCCGCTTCCTGAAAAAGGCCGGCTTTCGGCATGAGCAGCGCTTAACGACTTCAACAATTCCAATTGCCTGCATTCGGCGCTGTCGCTGAACAGCTTGCCAGAAGGCCAGAACTGGCAATGAAAAACTCCCAAGGCAGTACTTCGATCGGACATCTGGTCGGATTTCTCGCCTTCTTTGTCGAAGCTCCGCCCCAGCAGGTCCAGGAGCAAACTGTATGATTTCTCAGCATTGTCACAAGTGGCCTGGGGGCTGACCAGAACGTAGCCCTCATAGAAACAAGAGATCACAAGCAGAAGCTGGTGAGCGATCCAGTGTAGAGCCCTCGCACATCTTAGGAAGGCCACTACCGCTACTTTGGCTCCGAAGGGCAAGGCGTACTGCTGAAAGCAAGATGGCTGTTTGCTTACAGATCTGCAATCTTGGCCCTTGGCAATGAGTTGTCCGACATAGGGAGCTGACGAAACGCGCTCGTGATATTAGAGGACCTGCCCCTCAAACCCATAAATTTACCACGCTCGTCAAGGGCTTTCATTAGCTCAGCACTCATGGCCGCAATGGTGTCTACTACGTCTACCGCTGGTTTGGAGGCCCGCAGCTGCTTGTGTTTCCGTGAGTTGCCCATGATTGCGTGCCAAACGCTGCCTCAATGTCTTACTGAGAAAAAAACCTCAAATCTGGCAGGCGTGTACCTGTATGGGTTAGGAGACGAGCTGAATTCTGCGATGTTCCGCCTGCAGGAAATGATCTAAAAGGCTGTCCAGTGTGTCAAGGGACATTGTAAGAATGCAAGTGCCGGGAAATCTTTACCCTCTTGGGGGCTGACGGGAGCTTGCGCTTGAAATATGCCTCCCAAGTCTGTCGTGAACTGTGGCATTAGGATTGTGCCCAGGTACGTCTGCTGTTGGACCAAAGTTTAAAATACTCCTTGTCGGCTCCCTCCAACAATTCTTACCTTCATGGGTGCATACCCTGGATCCTGTGATTTTCTTAGCCGCATGCCGCGCTGTTTTTGATCATCAGACTGGATTTGCCCGGGTTTATTTCCACGCCATACTCCTGGGACAGCGGGAACACGCGCAGAATTTTCTCCTCCATCTTATAGATGCAGTCAGCCTCTGTGAAGGTCCATTGAGCATCACTGAGCGATGGTATCGTTTGCAAAGGAGGCGTGTGGCTGCAAGACAAATGCGCACTGCGCAAATTCACACTCCCGTAGGAGCTTGCCTGTCAGCACAAACCACGGGGCTAGAGCTGTTGAGCTGTTCTGCAACGCTGCCTCACCCCTTGGGTCGTGTTCACCTTGCTGCAGGCACCACGCCAGCTGCGCTGGTCATCAGCAGTGAAGTGGATCCAGCACCAATAGCCGCCGTGCTGGCCGTGAGGTTGGTAGCCAGGAAAAAAAGGCAGCCAGTGCGGGCGGACCAAAGCGACTCAGCGGGCGTAAAGGCGCCACACGCAGCCCCAGCAGTGTCTGCCACATCGACGACGGTGTCCTCAATGTCCACGGCATTGTTGATGTTTGCCCAAAGGCTAAGGCATCCCGAGGAGTCATCAGCTTCAATGCCCTCATCGCCACCCACCATCATCAGACGGCGGCGGCGTCACAGTTTCGCTCAACACCTTCTAATGTCCAAGAAACTGTCACTTGGAAAGTTTGGCCAGCGTCAGGCTGCACGCCACTTCGCCGGCATCCGCCAGACGGCGCATGGCGGCGCCGGTGGCTAAAGTTGGAGACGCCATGGCTCCAGGCTGTGGTGGTAAATAAAGCGCTCAAAACGGCGGTATGAGCAGCCAAGCAGTTGCGGTGCGCACTCGAGTGCTCCATGTTGACACAAATATGCCAACAAACAGCACCGCCACCATGTTCGTACAAGCATGTGAAAAGGCTAGGACATTACTCATCGCCTATAGTCCTATGTAATCTCAATTAATGATGCTACTGATAATGTTGCAACATGAGATGCACTGCCTATCAGAGTACAAGACCTTCAAAGGACAACATCACGAAGATTCAAAACCGAGGACTTTCGCAACGAATGTTCTTGGATTCCCTTGAGGTGATCGTGAGTCGCTAAAGGGACCTGGCATGCTAAAAAAACCTCCTTGCTGAAAATGAGAGGGTAAATCTGAAGCTCTGCCAAGAAAATCAAAAGGGAACATGAGGGTAATGCGCACTTTCTGATGGCCCAGGAGTACGGAATGTCAACACCGATATGGGTGCATCGCGCAGGTTCCGGAGATGGCAGTTGACAGTTCCGCTGTCCGCCTACTTTGAGGTTCATTGGATTTAGTAGTAAGTTGAGTCATGTGTCTTTGTAGACTCTACAGGCCTCAAACTTAGTAAGAAGCCTAGGCCCGTTGCCGCAACGCCATTGCGCAGGAAAACTGGAAAAAAGACTTTCTAAAAAGCGTAGAAACCCAGCTATACACGTGCGGCCACGCGAAGGGAAAGCCAGAGGGCGCCATCGCTTCGCGAATTGCGCACCGAAGGCAGGCGGGCGAGCAGGGCCTAAACCAGGGCAGGCAATCGAAGACTAGAACCCTAATCATAGGGGAATGGCCGGCGGCCCTGCGAGAGCGGAGGCGCGCTTCTGGCTGCATCTTTGGACACGAAGGACAATCTCTTGCGCTTCATACTTCAATTACTTCACAAACCCCGGCTGCTTTGCTTCAACCTCATGAAGTTCTCAGCTCTTGCCTCGCCTACTGGAATTTTGCCTGTCCCTCCTTCTCCAAAACCCGGATTGCGTGAGGCTACGCAAACTGCCTATGGACGCACTTGCTAACTTAGACAAGAATCAATGTTCTCCCAGAACCAGTTCCATGCAACTTCGTGTGCAGAGTCCCAGTCCTCACACACAGCAAGCTTTGGAACTTGCAGCTTCAAGATAATGGCGGCCAGTCCTTTGGAACTAAGGAACGCAAGGATGCCAACATCACGGCTTTGAACTCCATCAAAATGATTGGCCCCTGCGCGGTGGCAGTCTAAATACATGCCTAGGCAGTACCAGGTTCAGGACTGGCCTCGTATTGGGCAAGAACCAAGGAGAGAACATCGCACTCTTCCTGCGCAGCTCGAAAGCGTGTGCACGATCTCGCAACGAAGCTCGTTTAGAAACTCCAAAACTCCCTGCTGCAGTTGAAACGCTCCATCAGCACGATGCGGGATGGGTGTCCCGCCTGAATGCGGTATGAGTTTGCCACGTTGGTGACCATGTTATCGAACCTGCAGACGTTGCTCAAAAAGCTGAACACTTCAGGAAATGCCTCTGGTGATTTGCTCTGCATCCCAGGCGCTGCTCGAGCACCAGATGCATCCACAGGCTGTTGCCAAAGCCCATCACGGCACTATTGAAGAGGAACATCTCGTTGAAGGTCTTCGGCCTCAAAGCAGAAGCACGAGCTTGAACCAGCCTCTACAACATCTGGAAGCTTTGGGCCACTGGCACTTGGACATTGGTCTGGATCCTCAATCGCTATGACATCACCGTGTGGCTTCAAGGCTGCCTTGTGCAAGCAAGCGGCCGTGTGGACTCCCCACCTTGACGAAGTGAACCCGTCAGACAGAAGCCATTGCGGCTGTGAGCTGAGTTGCTGAGTACTCCGCTTGCTCTGGTGTTGGCAGCATCCTTGCCAGGCTCTGTTGGAGCCATCTCGGTCTCAGGATTCCGTACCTCTCCTGGCACATCGAACAGATTTGCAGAGTCTTAGAAGCGGATGCATTTGCTGACCGTGCCTGCCGTGCCTGCTGGCTTATCTGCCTGCTGGCCCTGCTCGCCCTGCTCTGCTTTGTCTTCGCCGTCATTCGGTGACGCTGCACGCTGCAACTCCTGAATGTCTGCAGCCTGGCAGATGCATCAAGATGGCTCTCAGAAGCAGAAAATGGCATCTGGCCGCCTTGTTGGTGGCTGTTCTCCAACTTGCGGTTATGATTCTGATGCGGCCGGCATATTCTCTGCCTGGCTTACTGTAGGACTGAGTGTGAGGCAACAAAAGGTTCAACGGTAAGACTTCCACGAGAGCCCACGTAAGCTGCAGGCGGATGTAGATGTACGCTCCACCCACATAGTTCATGACCGCACCAATCCCAGCCCGAGCTTTGCTGGTGAAGCGCGGGCCCAACTCCATATCGAAAAGGTCTACAATCGCATCGCGGAAGATGACGACTCGCGGCACAGTCACTTCCTCTGTTGGGATTCTGTCCCTATAGGCACAAATTGCATTCAATTCCTGAATTCCGACAAAGGGAAGCCAGGTGCCGGTCCAGGTCTAGGTGCTGGAAGCCCAAGGTCTCCACTAAGACCTGCACATGCAGAGCTCATGCTGCCATAGCCCCGCAATACCACCTGCGTAGGATGACTGATGGCACCTTCAAAGAGCTAGGACTGTGCAGCGCATTCATGATGCTGTTCAGCCCATTCATGAAACGCATGGCCATGACAGACCTCGGTCAACAGTGCAAGGCATCGATTCAGGGTGTAAATGTAAGTTGCTCATGAATGGACTGCTCGACTAGGCGGCTAACTGCACTTGATGTTTTAGGAGCCCATCTTGGCAAGAAAGGGCAATTGGCCAGGTCAGAGGTAGTGGAAATCCAACGTCAGAGCTCCCTGCTAAACGAAGGTGCTGACAGTAACCGAGCCATGCTGTCGCGCTGCCTGGGAGTTTTGAAGAGGCTCTGCAGGCTCGGCGCAGCATCGAAGAGGGCTGCGTAGATAGCCTCACCTTCGAGACTTCACAAACTCAAAATGTTCGAAGCATCTCCGGATTGCCTGCGGCATCTCTGGACCGGGAAACTTGGATGAAAGCTTCCCAACAGGCTCTGGCCTTCCAAGCACTTGCGGAGCAGTTTTTCAGCATTTTGCATCCTTCTCGTAACACAAATGTGCCTCTTCCCTGACATCCTCAGGTAGCTTCATCTCCTACGCAAAGTTTGGAACAGGGCCGTTGCATTTTCAGCGCGACGGTCCCAACGTCTCCGCGTCCTCGAACACTTGCTCTTGGACCTCATTCAGCGCACCGACGTCAATGATTTCTTCCTCGTCGGTCTCTTTCAGAATCTCCCCGCTTGACATTTCATCTCCATCTTCCTGCAACGTTCAAATGTAGCCTGGTCTGCGGGTGGGGCTGTGGCTTCCCACATGTTCCTCGAAATCTGCATCTGCAAGAATCTCAGTCTCTTCTACACCATCCTCATCATTGTGCATGGCCTGCCAACTGCATCGGACACATGCACAGATAAATCTGCAATTTCCTCAGGAGTCCGGCTCAGTGCAGGATGCGTGCCTGAGCTCGGCGTAAAGCCCCGGTAAGGGCTCCCAGCCGGGCTTGGGCCAAAGCTTGGACCACAAATGTCCGACGGTATTGGCAGCAACTGTCAACTTCAATTCAAGTGTATCTGGCAGAAACATGCGGCAGCAGTGTCCAACAAACTGATATCAAACACAGTCATGTACAACGATAGTGCAAATGACCTTCGTCTCCTTGCCGTCTGAACCTCACAGGTGGACACCGTGCAAATGCTCCAGCCGTCCAAACTGCACATCGCATCAGAATGCATAACGTTCCGTTGCAATCACCAAGTCTTCAAACAGGAAGTCAGCTGCGAATAGAAACTTCTGAACCGTGCATTGAATCCGAAATACAACGGGATAGACATGAAAGGCACAAGCAATCCGAATTGGGGGATTTTTCAGGTTGCCTACAATGTCTAGTGTGCTGTGATCAACCATTTCGCTGCCTTTGTAAATTGGTGGGCAGCCTAATCGAGGAGATGCCAAGGAGGTTTCGGGAGTCCAATGCGGCTTCCGGGACGCTTATGATTTTAAGACACTCCTCAGTATTAAACGGACAGTGAGCTGCCTCGCTGGACCTTGGCACACTCGGAGCACTGATAGACCGGTCTCAGATCATCTTCCACAGCCTGCAACAGAATTGCATTTCTTCTGCATTTGGCACAGGTTGAAACAGCGTGTGCCTCTGAGCTGGTGAACTTCAGGAAGCAATCCTGAAGTTGACAGCTCCCGTTCACCTTCCCAGAGATGCTCTGAAAACCGAGTGTGAGATGGGAAGAAGGAGATTCCGAGCAGCCAGCATGGTTGCCCTCAAGACAGCCCTGCCTTGAGGCTCACAGGATCGCTGAAGACTGCCTGTAAATCCTGCAGAAAGCAGGCATGATGCATTTGAAAGCATGCACAATGTGAGAAGGGGAGTTGTGCAGCACACCAAGGGCTTGTTCAGGCAACTGCTTCCGCCACGAAAAGCATCACAAGCGTTCATCTAGGCACTTGTAATAGCCAGCTGAAGTCAGCAAGCCGTTGGTGGTTTAACGTACGAATGTCTGTACAGCGACGATGCATCAGACATCATCAGACGCCACCTTCTTCTTTGGCAACACCTCTGCAGTGCAATGTTGAGCAGTCCTCCACCATGGAGCTGTGACAGTCGAGCGCAGCCTGTTTTCTGGTCAAAAGGAAATCTGGTTACAAAGAACATCCTTTTATCCTCGGTGCAGACGTGAAGAACACACTTCCGTCCAAAGCACACTATCACATATCTTTTATCTTCTACCCCACCTGCAGGAAGCTGCGAGCGGTGATTTCTGCCGCCTGGAAAAGATATGGAAACAGTCTCCTAATGCTGTTAACTGGAGACCATTACAAATCACACGGGCAGCCTCTTGGTCGTCCGCGTCGCTCTCCGTTGCTGCTGCTGTCTTGGCAACCTGACAGGAATCTGACTCATTGACGGCCATGAGATGAGCTTCGTCACCACACTGGCCTTGCCAGAACAGGCTGACGTAACAGAACAAAAGCGGCGCTGGACAGTTAAGTCGACCACCTAGCGATGAGATATTTCCGTGCTACTCATCATCGGCATCCGGCTGCAAACTCTGGCAAACCTCCTCCTTCAGGAGCTGTTGCATCATGACGAAGGTTTTGGCTCCTACCACACAGACTCAGACAGTGCAAGGTGGGCTCAACGCTCTGAAGGTATGAGGAAAAGTTTGTGTTTGTCCTCCAACAGCGATGATTTCATCGCCCTCTCGAACCACCAAATCCTGCTCTTTCTGCTCCGAAGGAAGAAAGCTCAACAAGCAAAGCTGCGAAAAAAGGTTGTGCTGGGATGCGGTCTGGCCTCCTCGTCCATGGATTTCTTTTTCAAATTCCACTTATCCAACACCTGCTTTAACAATGACGTTGCAGGCCAAACAAAAGCTCACCAGGCAACACTAGCCGCTAGCCTCACGAGAAATGCAAAAGCCGTCAAATGGACAGAGCCGTGATTGTGTCTCAGGATCCTGCTGTGTCCGGATTGACCGTTGCAACCCGCAGCCTTTAGAAAAGGCTGCTCAACCGGTGTCGCTAGTAGTCACAACACGCCCCACCTCTTCTGCTGCAGTGAGTCATTGCACCAGCCAAATCCCCAGCGAGGATCCTGCTTGATTCACATTCCACTTTGCGGTATCTGCCCATGCAAAAGAAACGTTGCTCCTTCTTCTTGTGCTTCCGCAGATGCACTTTGAAAGTGAAAGGCCTGGGAAGAATTTACAAGTTTGAGGCACCATGTCAATCGTGCCAGCAGAGTTTTCTGCTTTTCATGACAGTCTTTGGGTGCTGCACGCTTTCAGATTAGGACTTGCTGGGAGCTGGGGAGCATGCTCCGGCTCTTCCATCCTCTCCGCTTCCTGCTGGCTCAGTTCACAAGGCAAGTTCAGCTCAGGCAAGTGACTCTGCCAGGTGTCTACGCAAAGCTCATCTAACCGCATACATAAAGCACTCAATTACCGCTGCAGCACATCTAGCCAACACAGCCACACCATCTGCATGTTCCCACCAGCCCATCTGCAGGTTCTGCAGAATCAGCAGCTTCCGAATCCTGAGCCACGTGCAGTGGCAGAGACACGTTTGATACGCGCATGTCCCGCTGTTGAGAGCACCTACTCTTGTGATGTGCTCTACAGAATGAACCTAGGACACCCAATCCATGCAAAGCAAGCATGAAGACAAAGGTCTGCAAGCGCCCGACGTTGCCACACCAGGACTTATGTAGGGTTGGAGTCTCACTGTCACACGGGTAGAACGTGAACGAAACTACGGGAACAGGCTGCGGTTGTCTAGTCGAGCCTCAGAAGGTCTTGCCAAATTGCGTAAGCAGCAAATTATTCATGATGATACGCCATCTCATTCTGCGGAATTGTATGCGAGCCTCTCCGCACCTAGTTCCTAGACATGGATCAAAAAGCTTCTGCGCCTGCACGGTTGACGGTAGCCGCCGCAAAGGCTGGTACCAAGTTGCCACTGAAGGTCTCATGAAGAAGGGCACGCCTTTGCCAGGAAATTTTGTTGAAAGTGCCGTCAAGCGAGTGAGAATCAACTCGGAAATTAGGACCGTCTTGGCGGCAATCTGGCCTTGGGCCTTCAGCTTCGAGGCGTTCGAGCTCGGCGCCGAGCTCGCGGAGCGCGCGGGGCAGGCGGAGCTGTCTTTCGCTTCCTGGCGAGCGTTGGCTCTGCATGCTCTGCCCAGCTGCTTCAACTCAGCTTCAAGGCACCTCCTTTATTTCGTCCTGCGCACGGCCTTGGAAGCTGCGTGCCAGTCACAGAATCATCGCGCAGAAATCCTGGGATCATTACTCGTGGTTCTACAAGAAGACGAGCAGCTGCCTCCAACTTCCTGGGCATATGCAACAAGACAGTTTTCCGCAGCTACATCTTTGATGTACCTCTTTGTTCCAATGAGTCCGCAACTAGCTGTGCAATCCGAGAGGGAAGGCCCAACAGGCCCGCCTGCTCCTTGCCCAGTGCTGCAACCCCATGATTACAGATCCATAAGAAAGCCTTCGCTTCAGTTGCTCAAAGTTGCCCCCCCACCATCCTTGCTCACATTATCCATCCACAGGCCAGCACACTTTAACAGTTTCTCTGTGCCTGTAGAAGCCTAAAACTGGGCAGATGTGTTTGGACTACCCTACATACAGACACAGATGGGGCACGTGAAGCTGCAGACTGTCCACGTCAAACCATGCCTCGGAAATTGGCAGCTCCAAGGATAGGTCCAGAAACGGATCCACCCTGCCGGGCATGGCACATTGGATAATGCCAAGCCTAACACTTTATTACACTTTCCCTCTCAGTAACTGCGCTGACAGTGAGGAGGGTTGCTGACAGGTTTGGGCTTGTGTTGAACACGTTTTTTGTGCTTTTGGGGGTTTCGACGTTGGGCAGCAACAGCGAATGATCAGGACGTTTCACGCGGGAGCGCTTTCTGGCAGTTGGATGCTGAGAACGCTTCACACTGGAGCGCTCTCGGGCAGCCATGCCGAGGAAGCCCCCCAATATGCACAAACACGAGCACAAATGAAATCCTGTAGCTCTCTGCTCACTTTAACAACGTTCTCCCAAGCGGTCTGATTCGCTTTAAAAGGGAAGGTCGGGGGGTTTGGGGTGGCCACAACCATTTGCAACAACATGGTAAAAAAGAAAGTAGTCTAGCAATATTCTCCCAAGCAATCCGTTCCGCTTTCAACTCAAAAGCAGGGAGGTGTGTTCGCAAAGAGTCCTTTCGCTTTAAAATGAAGGCAGGAGGTTGGAGGGCAGAGGACCGCACCATTCGCAAAAACACAGACCCAACAAAAACATGTAGAGCTCTTTGCTCTAGCCAGCAACATTCTTCCAAGCAGTCCGCTCACTCTCTGCCTCTTGCTTCAACCTTACGGTATGGTTGGGGCACACGGGCATCCGAATCATCTCAAATAATCTACACACTTGCACACATCCTCACACTCACACCAAGCTCTAAAACAAAATCATGTGGCTATCTTCTCGCATGCCTTTCACCTGCTGCTATGGGTATATGTGTGGTGGCATATAGTTTCTTTTGCTTGCCAGTAGACAGATCAACATGACATCACACTTCATCAGACCTCACCTTACAGAGACGCGATGGCACTTCCAGCATAGCACGGCTGCACAAGTGCGCCTTAGCAAGGCGGCTAAGGCAAGATCTCTGCCGAGGGCAGCCGGTCAAGATGCCAATTTCTGGGTCCCAGGCCCTCGAAAGCTTTGCCACACGAGCTTCTCTGCTTCACCACAGGGGGTGCTTGGCGTCTCGGCCGAAGTTATCCATACAAGCCAGTAAAAACCCAAGCACATGACGCACACCTAAGCTAAGCAGCTAAGCCGGGAGCGTGAGGTCCTCGTTCCTTTTTCTGCTTCTTTTCAGTGGCCGTAGGCCTGAAGAGCCAGATGCCGACTTGTCTGTTTGTTCAATTTCGCTTCAGTGCATTCGGCCCAGGAGTTGATTTCAAGCGCGCACCTTTGCCTCACAATGCTCCTCATATGCAACTCAATATTTCATGTGTGCTCTAAGATGCCATGCTCTCGGCTTCTGATGATCTTTGCTGACGTGCTTCTTGCGGAAAAACACTCGCAGGTATCAGCTAGGTGCCGTGACTCATCGGCCACTGAGCCTGCTAGCTGCTCTGCCACAACGCCGAGGAAAGAGCTTGCTTGGCCGTAGCATCCTTGGGTCCCGGCCAAGCAAAGTACGTAGGAGCTCATGAGCATCCTGACACGGAGTCATCAGCACAATCAGCGCACTAAAGCGCGGTGTCTGCAGCTCTGGTGGTAGAGCGCTTAGAAAGCCCAGGTCCTGCTGTTCCCCTCCCTTGTACCAGGGGAAGTTCGAGCAAATCTGTGACAACCTGGCAGCAAGTTGAGCATGTCTGAAAACGGACTCCAGTGCTGGTACAGTCGGTAGAGTATTTGCCTGGTTCTGAGTGGTTTCAATGCATGTATGGGCTCTGCAAGCAGCAAATTGAGATACCTGGAACTGGACTAGCCACGCCCTCGAGGATGCAGCCGAACCGAATCAACATAGCCAGTTGAACAGCTGCTTCGGTGAACAGGCGCCGCCAGTTCCACCCTGGTGCTTCCGGATTGTGATGAGGTCTGGCAGCCCTGCTCCCCCAAAGCTTGATTGAGATGTGCATGCGCAACGAATGGTGGGATGTGCATGCGCAACGAATGGTGCAATCTCAGGGACAATCGGCTCACTTATCCCAGTACTTTGAAGGAACCCCAAGGTTGCTGCAGCAGTGCGCAAGCGCCTTGGCCTTGCCGCTGCCTCCACACCCTTGCAGACCATGAAAGACCGAGCAAAGGGAGGCGCCCACACCGCCCAGGCCTGGCGGTTCGTCTCAAAAGAGCCTTGTCACAGCCTTGCCGTGACCTGTGGCCAACCTGGCCTTCTTCTGCAAGCGAGACCAAACTGTCCCTGAACGGATTGGAGACGCTGAGACACTGCCTCGGAGTTACAAGCAGCACGAAGCAGCGCAGCAAGCCTGACACATCGAGGCTGGTGCAGGACGCTGTTTAAGTAGCAGGTGTTGCCTGGCTAACACATCGCGGATCTGCAGCTGTCAGCAACTCCAAAAACTCACCGGCCAGGTCTACCAAGGTTGACAAGGCCCCTCTGACCGCCAGAAGCCGGAGGCAAGCCTGGAAAGTCTCCTGACACAAGACACTCGAAATCCAAAGCGGACCTGTCAAACGCAACATCTCTTCTCAGAACTGGTGAAAGATGACTCAATTCGGTTTGTACTGTACCTACAACGTCCAAACGACTTCAAAGCAAGCAAGCACCCTTCAAAGTCCTGCGGGAGCACTGTTCTCGTGGAAGTCGTTCTTCGACTTGATGTTTCCAGACCTGACCTAGCGCGGGTGTGGTACAGTTCCTGTCCTTCATTCAGGTGCGGATCCAAAAGCAGGTCTCTCAAGTGAAACCAGGCAGACGACAGACACAGATAGGACATCAAATCTCCTTCCTAGGTGACTGCCATTCTGCATGTGTGGCGCTTTCATCCGCTACGCTTCAGGCCCGTCAGAACGACGAAGGACATTTAAGTCCAGCTCTTGTATCGACGCTACATGCACAAACAGCATGCCCACGCTGAACCGCAGGTTCATTCACACGTGCGAAGAGGACATAGTGACCGCCTGCAAGCATGAGGTAGGTCATGGTTGTTGAACAACCCTCAAAGTTGCCGTCAGGCAGATGCCATGCACAACTGCTGCGGTCCTTTTGCTTTCATCACATGAGACAGCGAAGAGCTGTGCTGCCTGAAAACTCACATCTTCTAGAAACTCTGTCTCAAGCATGCTGCAAACAAGCGACAATACTGAAGACACCCCTATCCAGAACCAACCACGACGAGACAATAGAAGCTGGTATCTCGTCTACTCTACTTGCCTTTGCTGGCTATGTATGTAGGGAGCGCCCGACAATGGTGGCACCAGACGCGCAACATCGCTCAGAAGTGCTTTCAGCGGGCTTTCTTCTTGTCCTGAACGGTGTCAGAAGTTGGCACACCAACAGCAACAAAAACCGATTGCAGTCCAAGAATCCATCTTCTTACCCTGTCGCTTGTACGGAATGTACTCGAACTCGATGTCCTGAGGAACCTTCTTGTGACGCGGTCCACCAGCACCCCTGCAGGCAAGTTTCTTGGCACCTAAAATTGCATCGATCATCTGCACAGCTCAGATATTTAGGCAGTGCGGTATTGTATGAGAAGGAAGTGATTAGGAGACCGCTTGAGATCGAAATCCGTGGCACGCTCTAATCATCTCTCATCCACCCCTCAAGACCTCTTTCCATGCCGTCCGTAGACCGCAACATCGCCACGGTTGCTTTGCGATCGTGTTGGGGCGGAGGAGCCCAAGAAAGTCAGTGGGGCCTGATTGGCACGCCGGATTCTCGCTCCGTTACCACGCTGATCAATTGGAGAGCGAGCTAACAGCTAGAGTCTAAAGGCTTTCGTTTCTTCGCAGGCACGGAACAGTGTGGGTTTCTGATTCTTAGTGCTGCGGAATAATCGAATGTCAGAAACAAAAACCTTCAGTACTTAACAATCGGGCTACATTGAGCCTGTGATTGCCAAACCAGCATGCACGCCAAGGCACAAGAGTCAGACATGCGCAAAGCAAGGCCTGAGCACCAGTATTCGGATTGAAACATTTGCAAGCTGTTAGAAGTGTATTGGCCGTATTGGCACACATGCGAATCGTGTGATGTCAGGATTTGCAAGACGGGGAACAGCCACAAGTAGCAGCAGATGGCGCGCCATGGCCAAGTGACACACAGCTCAGCACAGCGGAGCAAACGAATCTGGTCAAAGCGATGGCACCTTCTTTGAGCAGAAATGCCAACGCACTCCACATGGCAAGCTCACTCCACATCATGAATCACGAATAGCACATTTCACAGACTCCTACCCGGCCTCAAGACCCACAGTCTGCTTCCATGGGGGCACTACTTAATCTGCTGATACACAGCAAGCACACCAACCATTGTGCATCGAAGAAAATGACATTGAAACGCACAGAAACATCTGATGAGGTTGGAAATACGTTCCGCAAACCAAAACATGGTTTAACTGGATCATCTTACTCAAACCCAATGAAGCTGCCGAGCCAAAATTCCATCAACGTTGGGGAGCACATCACGTGCAAGTTGCGAAGCAGGCCACCACATCTTGCAGACACAGTAAGAGCACACTGACGGTCAAGACGATGGTTAGAAGAAGACTCCCACCTGTTTTTTGCCTTTTTTCGGCATGGCATCACCTGCCCAAGGCCAGTTATCATGACGCACACACCATCTCAACATGCAACACCAGCAAGCACAGGCCGGCGTCTTTGCTGAATATACGCAACACTCAGCAATGTTGAACAACCCTGTGGAAATGCCTGACGCTGCAAGATTGAGAAATGATGTGTGCCGGCATTTTTCTGTTTCTTGGTGCAATAGTTAAGTTGAACAAGATAAAAACCTCTGTCTCTCTTGTGACTGCACGATGAAAGCTATGGCCACAACACCAATCCATTTTGCAGTTGAAATTACATCACCTGCAACCAGCATCTTGAATGCTCAACAATATCATAATGCAGATAGTGCTCTTTGCATACCGACCACATTCGTTTCTTTGCAAAACTCCCCAAAGCTGCACAAGCTTGAGCCAATACACCACGAAGCAGATCGGAATCAAAACACACCTGCATGGTAGAAGCTGAAAACACCACGGGCTGAATCAAAATGCAACAGCGTTGAACCACAGTAATTTAATGGATCTGGATACCCAAGCACGAAGTTGTTGGTTCGGAGCCGGATGGTTTTGTGAAAGGTGTGCATGACCTACATTCCTTGCGCGGAGCTAAGGACGAAAAATCTGCTTTGAAGTAAACAATGCAGACCGAAACCTGATGGGATCAGGCTGTGACAACTTCTTTATGATTACGGCTTAACAACTCGAAAAATGTGGATTTCGCATGCGGAAAGACCATGCAAACATCATGTCAACAATGCGCGCAAATGTTGTTTGGCTTGTGGAAAGCACATTCGCATCTTTTGCACACATAAGCTTTAAAGTTGCTTGCCCCCATGTACCCGATGTATGAAAACCGTTTGGCAAAGCAAGAAGATGATATCACGAGGTAAGGAGATTTACGAAAAAAAGTTCAAAGCATGGTGATGCGCCCGTGATGGGAATCAGAGGAAACAGGTTAAATCAGTTAATGCAATTGGTGACAGCTTTCGCTGCTATACAAGTCTCAGCGGGACAGATGTTCGTGGAGGAGCGCAAGGCTGGAGTGTCCATCGAGTCTTTGCCCATAACTTTTTTGAGGATTGCCAAATCTGGATTTGGTTGGATTTGTGAAATATTGTTTTCCGACTTGTTTTTCGAAGCAACTTAGCCAGAGCGCCCCAAACCAGAAGTCGACCGCGGAGAAATTGAAGGAGCAAAATAAACACCGTTTTCAAGAAAAAAATGGAGTTTCGGCGGCGGACGTGCAGAAAACATCGATGGATAATCGGCACCGCCAATTTGCCAATTCAAGCTTGCATCATTGGTGACTGAACAATTGACGGTGCCCAAGTGTTGAGTTGGAGGAGCGGTGGAAGTTTGCAACCGATTTATGGTTTATGTGCTGCGCTTCATAGGTTGTTGTGTCGCATAAATACACTAGAAACTCTCTTCGAATCTTGAACAATTTCTTGGCGTCCCAATCTGTTATGTTCAGTTGTGTTTTGACGGGCAATACTGACAATTAAAGGACCGGAAAACCCCAGATGTGTGGTTTAACCTGAATCTATGTGTAATGATATGAGGACACTGTTGCCCGCCAATAAAAAGACATGTTCGAAGAAAATATGGGAAGACGAAACGAAATTCCGGAACGAAGCAGGACGCGGTGCGCGACTGTACAGATAACCCGGGGAATTCCTTATTTTATATGTAATGTTTACCCTTAGCTGCAACCGCGAAACATGTTTCGATATATCGCATGACCACATGCCTTGCGGGCTCTAATAGTGTTTTTGCGCACTTCATGCACACATACATACATGCACACATACATACAGACATACACACAGACATACATGTGTTTAGTACATGTATATGTATGTATTGTGCGTATATATACATATGTATATGTATGTGTAGATGTCTATATACATATACTCACAAGTACACGAAGACTGAATCTTGGACTGCATGCCAAGCTCACACCCTGCACCAGAATTTTTCCGTCTCACAATAGGTGCAGATGCTGGGAAGCCGCCGTTCGACCAGGTAAGTTTCACTTTAGACTCCTTACTGCATCGTTTCCACTCGCACAAGAAGATCAAGCAAAACAACAAACTGTCAATTGCAAACGCACATCCAAGCAAGCACAGCGAAGGACCGTCTCGAGAGCAGGGGTCTGAATCTTAAGCCCTTGAAGCCCCCTTCACCTCTTTGTTAAGGCCCTTGAAGCCCCACTTCAGCTTACCCTTGAAGCCTTAAAGCCTTGAAGCCCCGGTCGCCTTCAAGGCTTGAAGGGCTTTCTCCCTCAGCACCAACGTTTCCGTGCTCTTCCCGATTGCTCGTCGCTAATGTCCTCATCCTCCGCGTTTTCACCCGTCCTTAATTTGCGGGCCGACGCAATCCGGATGGGTCATTTGCCACACGCCAAATAGCCTGTTATCCAGATGCCCTGGCTGCAGATATTGCGTCGTACGTTGCACGCGGACCTTGCCGCAACCTTTATCTGGCCGATCCCCTCCTGCCCTTTGCAAGCACTACCGTCACACTGCAGTTGGTAAGGTGAGGGCTTCAAGGGAGGCTTGGGGGGCTTTAAGGCTTGAAGGGGCTTGTGTCTTCCTGGCCTCTGCGCGCTCTACTGAAATTGCTCAGAGAGTGGGAATGTCGTTGTCGGTGCATCATTCTGTCATTCTTTTTCGACCAATGCAACTGCGATCTCTGAAATGCTTCTCTGCGAAGAGTCCTGACGGGCGTTCAGTTTGGTGACATGCGACCCGGGATGGGGAACTGCGGCAGACTGGCAGCACATGTCATGGGGCTTATCTGGGGTGCTCTTCTGGCGATGTAGACTAATGATCGGGAGCTTGTCGCCGAGTTGTTCGCCTGTCCGTTCTCGGAAGGAAAAAAAAACTGCTGCTCTGTGCTCATACGACTTGCGCTTGCAGACACCCAAAAAGGCGTGCAGGGAGTCGTGGTTTCTCCCGACCGCCCGCCTCGCCTTGTCGTGGACAGTTCGATCAGCGGTGTGACATCCGACGCCAGTCTCCCAAATAAGGCTTCTATAGCCCTAAACTGTCAGACGTCCGCAGATGCATTCCTCTCTGCCCGTTGCACCAACAGCTTGGCACTGGTCCTTGATGTTTCCAAAGCGTAATCGCAGGATCCGTATGTGTTTCCGGCGTCGCTTCGTCCTTGACCAGTCCCTCACATTCAATTTTGGCGCCCGTGTCTCGGGCTTTTACTGGAACCGTGTGGCAGGTCTACTGATCCGACTGTCTGTGGCACGCGCCCAAATTTATGTAGATGACCTTCTTACACTCCTGCTGCGCTCATCGGCTCCGCTGCTCACGGCACTTCTGGTCATCATGCTGTCCGTCCTCCGCATTCCCATGAGCAAGCGTAAGGCAGCTCTGTCCCTGGGTCGGGCGGTCGTTTGACTTTAGCCACTTCACCATCCAGCTGGATCCCGACAAGCTATCCCGTCTCCTGATGCTCCTTCGCCAACTTCAGGCCCTCCCCCAAATGCACAGTGACTGTCCTTGAGAAGTTGACCGGGAAATTGCTCTGGCTGAGCAATCTGTTTGGTGCTCTCCGTCTTGGCTGTTGCGTAAGGGAGGAGCCTTTACCGTGCTGCTGCTCGCAGGCGAGAAGTTTTCGTGTGAGCTCGGCTGTCCGTTGAAGGGCGTGTTGAGGTTTAAATGGTTAGCAATGTTTACGATTGGCTTGCTTGTTGGTTGCTGTTGGAGGAGACCGCGGCCCCTGATGCGTGCAAGGGCTGCTGCCACGGTGATTTAAAGTCCTTCGGGCCTTGCTCCAAAGGCTATGGGAGAAACAAGAACTGACTGGCAAGTTTCATCGAGGTGGAAAGGCCAGTAGAGCTGTACATTACTCCCATTCCCGGAATTACGCCAGCCCCATTGGTAACTCTCCCTGCGGCGCACTTTTTAGACAGGTGCTTCTTGTTATACATCATAAAAGGTGGGCAGTTGTTCGCCATCCACCCTCCTTCGGGAATCTCAGGATCCTCTGGCCGCTGGCGGTGACTCCACTTCTGGCACCTCTCTTTGGAGTAAGCGCTTCATGGCATGGGATCAGTACGATCGGTCTGACCTAGTCGCGGCCATTCTGCATCTGCAGCTCCATCCTGGCTATATTGGTTCTGAAATAGCCCAAGGTAAGGGCTCGAAGCCCATCCTTTGATGTCTTTTTCGTCCTGACCTTGTGTTAGCACCTGGCGTGGCAAATCACCGCGCGACTCAGGGCGTTGATCGACCTCCCCAGCTGGTGGTCTCTCTACTGGGTAGGTGTTCTTGGATGGATAAATCACCTGGAGATGCTGCAATGCCATACCGTCCATATGGTGTAGTTCAGCAGCCTGAAGGGGTGTGGTGCGTACGGTCCAGTGACCAAGGCAGTCTCAGTTGTCTCAAGCTCCCACGGGGGTCAGTACTTGGGCTTGAGCGGTGGGGCAAGGTGGACTCGCGCTGGGCCCCCTTCTCTTGCACCGCTGTGTGTTGATCAGCGTACACCTGTCCCTAATAGGTGCGCCGTCTCGCCTGAGATCTGGACGTCTCTGCGTGCATCCCTGTCTCCCGACCTGCGCGTTGCACGCCCCTTGCCGCTTGCTGCCATACCCGTAGGCTGCAAGCCCCTTCGCGTTGCTCACTCCCCAGTTTCATCCCTCTCCGGTCCCCGAGGTCGTCTCAGCACGTTGCCTCTAGGTTCAGGTCTCTAATCTGCTTCGCTCTGACCCTGAAGTGTCTGCCGAATCAACATGTGGACTGACATTGCTTTGCTTGTTCCTTCACCCGCGAGCAGCTCGTGGACATGTTTTCCTGGTTTCCGTTCGATACATCTCGCCGCCTGGGAGATGTTAGTTCAAGTTGGCCTGCTCTGGACTCTCTCCGTCCTGCTTCCGCCCGGCCATGATCCTATGCATGTGGTCTTCCGCGCTGATAACTCCCCCTCCCAATCTGCTTCCTGGAAGGGATTGTTACTAGCCCGTGGGATGTGCCAGTTCTTGCGTGCCTTC